CAGGTCTACTGCACGAAGGCTTACAGAAAAGAACCCAAAGAAATTTCAAAGTTTCAAAACTGAACTACATGTGTGGCTATAGCCATTGGACAGCTTCTCTTCAAAAACTAGAAGCAAACTTCTATAATTGAGAACATCTAAAGGATTAATCATGGCATCCATTTACAATGCATAAAATCTTTCTTTACAGATTCATAGAAGAAATAGAAATTTTCAGGTAGGAATATCTATTACCTGATGTCAGCTAGGAACATAGAACATAATTTATATTCAGAATAAGGATAAGGAGACCTATAACAAAGAAGGTCTGGATGGACTACCTTGGTATGTGTTTGCCTAGATGTAGAAAATATGTTGCTCAGCTACATCTCCCAGCAGCCCCAAACCAATAGGGAAAGATGTAAAGACTTTAGTCCAGCAACATATGGAACCACACAAGTTTCCCATTCTTGGTATGTAAGGTTTGGCAGTGAGTGTATTGGGAGGAGGCACAGGAGCCAAAAGAAGGGGTTGTAAGAACATGGCATTGCATATGGCTCCCCCTTTCTTGTCTCAATCCATTCTATCCCCAGAGGTAAACAATACAAGTATCCAAATTAAAAATGCAAATACTTCCTGGTGGTTGTCCTTTGGGATATATCCTGCACATTTGCAAAATATTGAATATTCTCCCTTGTGTAGGTTTCTGTTACTAAGAGCAAAACATTATTTCATCTTTCTCAGCTGTGCAAACAGTATTACCCTTCCCCTCAATTTGGAAGGCTCGTTAAATATAAATAGGTTGGAGGGCTCATTTAATATACTGTAAATAGGTTTTATTTGAAAATAAAAGGTGCCCACTATACCAATGACTTCAAAATCCATAGTCCTCATACATTTAAGCTGCACAAAAATGAATGCTGATTAGAAACTTTCAGATTTAGCATGTAAAACCACTACACTATTACACAGATGTGTCCAGGTACTTGCATACTCATCTCCTACTATTAGGGGATAACAGATATCTTTTCCATTCACTCCTGAGAGGAGCACTGATCACTGCTGCTTTCAGTGAACATTGAAGCTGAACTGGGAACATTACAGAATATCCCAACCTTACCAGACAAAATATTGATTATGGAATAAATAATTTGGAATATGTAGAAACACACACTTGCCAGTTGTCTACAACTCATTGAATCGGGCTATCTGAATGAGTTGGAAACAGATGCTGTGTTTGTAGGCCTGCATATTCTGAACCACTGAGTCGAAAGCATTAGACAGCCTATCAGCTATTCATTTTACCTGTGTGGGCCTGCAATTAAAAAAAATAGACTGAGCAGAGTAATCCGCCAATTCAATATGCTCATGCTGACATTCACTACTATGGATCCAAGGATTTAGAAAGAGATGCTGCCCTTGACAATGGGACTCAGTTAATGGGGACATTAAAAAATGTTGTTTTGCCCCACTGTATCATTGTTAAATACTAAATTATTGTCTTACACAGCAGCTTTCTCCATTGCTGCATTCTAATGATGCATCAGATCAGCTCTTCTCGGAATAAGCAGCCAACAAGATCAATGTCCATATTGTGGGAGCACTATTGAACTGAAGTCCAATACAACAAGCTGGGGGAGGCTATTAAACGTGAACATTACTTTGCTGCAAGATGCTGCATAGTTTTCTGCTGAGAATTATCACAATTCCGAATCACTTTATTCTAAGAGCTTGTCTGAATTCTCCTACATGTGGGAATCCATGTCCAAGCTACAAATGCTTCTTGAACTCCTTTCTTGCATTTATCTCATAATTCTAGCCCAGTTCAGTAAGTGGGCAAAAGACTAGGGCAAACTGAAATAGAAGCAAAAGGTGGACCACCACTATTTTGTCTGCAATTTTATATCTCTTTCATAGTCCAGCTGTTTTTAATATCCAATATTAAGCTTTTGTTTTTTTGATGTCTAGTATCATATTAAAGGGATTCTAGGCTAGTGATCTCAGAAAGAAATTCTAATATATTTCAACTTCCACAATTTAGAACTAAAGTCACATGATCCCTCACAATTGCTCTGATTGGCTAGGGAAGAACTTATCTGATGTCCCCAGCTCCTGTTAAAATGTACTAAAAGTAACCAAAGTTGTAGCAATTTCCATTATTCCTGCTTGCATGACTTCGAGTTTCAGGAACCGCAAAAATAATAACCACGGGATACATTCAAAATAATTAATTCATTTCCAAATATTTTCACAGGCTCAGTGTTTTAAAATGTATGTAAAGAAAGTTCCTGCATCTTCAAAGGAAGGAAACATTATGGTTTCATTCCAGTATATTGTTGCAATTTAGTGTTTCTTTTGAACTGAGAACAAACTAGCATAGATCTCAAACTACGTACAATTCACCTCCCTGAATATTGTCCCAGAGGGATTATTTTAAACAAAAAGTTGCAAGAAATGTCAATCTACACTTGGTGATTGTAATTGGGGGGGGGGTTGCTTTTCCTCTTTATCATCAAAAAGTCTACTTATCCTATGGGGGAGACTTAGAAGTATTTATTTCCTTTCCTCTTGGGGTTGTGTAATTGAGAAGACAGTTTTTCCAATTAGGAAAAAAGAACATCAAAAAAATATAAGCTTTCCTCCAACCTCTCCCTCCCAGTGGTGGTAACTTCGGCTGCAGCTTCTCTGAATAAAATTAAAAACGAAAAGCATCTACCTAAAGCAACAATTCGGAGATTCAAATAACTCAGGCTCACATTAAATTTGCAACAAAGATTCTGATGCTCCTTGAGAGGAAACTGAAAGAATATCCTAATTGAGAAATAATGAAACAATATTACCAACTGAGTAGCATAGTGGCCAAGAAATATTGTACAAAAACCGATGCTGGATAGAGTATATAGCTGTTGGGAGAATAACCACCTATAGCCAATGAATTATCTGTAGACAGCAAATTAAAAGATTCAGATTGGAGTGTTATTTCCTTTTATGAGAAAAGCTGTTACCATAATAACCCTTCATTCCCTAGGTTTAAAATGCTATTGGGGTGTGGGGTGGGTGGGAATGTAAGAATGCTTTTATTTTATGTAATTAATGCATTAATGTGCAGAAAAGAACTTTTACACTTAGGCAAGAAAAACCAAAAGTACAAGTACATATTAGATGAAACCTGGTTCAAAAACAGTAACTATGAAATGGACCTTGGAGTGCTAGTAGATGATCACTTATCAGTAAATATGAGCCAGCAATATGTGGCAGCAGCCAAAGAAGCTAATACAATCCCTGGTTATATAAACAGAGGCATAGAATCAAAATCATGTGAAGTATTAGTGCCACTTTATAAAGCCTGGAATACTGCATCCAGTTTTGGTCACCACATTACAAAAAAGATGTTGAGAGTTTGGACAAAGTGCAAAGAAGAGCAACTAAGATGATTAAAGACCTGGAGACAAAAACATATGAAGAACAGTTGCAGGATTTGGGTTTGGCTAGTCTAGAGAAAAGAAGGACTAGGGAGAACATGATAGGAATATTCCAGTGTTTGAGAGGTTGCCACAAAGAGGAGGGGGTCAACTTATTTTTCAGAGCACCAGAGGGCAGAACAAGAAACGATGTATGGAAACCAATCAAGAAGAGAAGCAACCTGGAATTAAGGAGAAACTTCCTAACAGTGAGAACAATTAACCAGTGGAACAGCTTGCCTTCAGAAGTTGTAGGTGCTTCATTACTGGAGGGTTTTAAGAAGAGACTGTCCAAAATAGGATCTCCTGGTTGAGCAGGGGGTTGGACTAGAAGACATCAAAAGTCCCTTCCAGCTCTATTCTGATTGGTTATCCCACATCACACAGTTGCAAGTTACAACACTCAAAGAGTGTGTTGGCCAAAACCACGTCTACTTAATTCAGTGGTCCACAATGCCCTTTCAAACACCCTTAGAAAACTCATCACAGGGTCTTATGGAAAATAAGCCATGCTCTTGATTGGGAAGCAAAATGGGAAAACCCAAATAAGACAAATTCAAAGGACTTCCTAGCTACACAGATGATGAATTTTCAAAATAAAAGGCAACTAAATGGCTTGACAAGGACCTATAACCAAAATACTGAGGCTGGTGACAGCAGAAGGGAATCCATAATCTGCAGCAACAGATATTAACAAACTATATACAGGGATTTTAACAAAGATTTAATCAAACAGTCAAAGACTAACCTGGAAGAAAACTCATGTATTTCATGATTTCCCTTAATGTGGGCCCAGTTTTATCATTATTGCACATGTCTACAGTACATCTTACACATTTATTCAAAAGTCCCAATTTCTGTAGTGGAATTTACCTTTAAATAAGCAAGCATAGGATTGCAGCCTTAGTGACCCTAACATGTATTCATGTATATAACACCACTGTCTTTGGAATATCTCTGCCTATAAATATCTGTTCATAGATTAAAAACCATGGTTTAGCATAACATAAGATAATATTTAGGCTGGGTGTATATACAGGTGTTACGGTATCGATTCATTATTGCATATTCCAAAGGTTAAAGAAATATCCAATTTTGTGGCTAGATTAAGGAAGCAGGACAGTCAATATTCGACACATAAAGTATTAAGAATCAATCATTACTAGATTAACCACTTACTTCATACAGAATGCTTTATTTGATGGACAAACCAAGCACATACGAGTAGCACCCATTTTCTTAATAGACATCTGACAGTCAATTTAGTACAAAATGGGAAGAAACCATGCAAATTATATATTCATTCAGAAATGGAGCTAAGTATCTAGATAGTATTAATGAGCCAGGGTTGTCTAAAAGTCTGGTAAGAAATTGGGGAAACAGGGTACACATGCAAGCAGCAGATAGTTGGCAGTGAGAAAAGTGGGTATACATCGTGAAATCCTGTCTAAACTGCTTCCAGGATTAGCAGGTCATGCTGTTTCAAAGATAATATTGGAGTAAAAAAAAGAGATGAAAGAGACTATTTTAAAAGAAAGCCACGCCCATCAAAAATCTCACCATTTGTGGATGATGATGTGCAACGAAATGGAGACACAGGAATGGTGCAGTTCAGCCAAAGGTCTGCCCTGTGTCCGTTCCCAACGAGCCATTGCTGAAAAAGAAGGAGTGGTTTATTCAGAGATGTACAGTTTGGAACGGGGTAGGACTTAAATGTTATCTTCCACGTTAAGGAAGTTAAGCCAATCAAGATTGCTTAAGGAATGAAAACAATTAAAAAGACCCTCTGATCCATCCCTCGGCAAAGGCTTCTTTCCAACAGTGAGTGTAGAAATACATATTCCTTCTTTACATTGACTGAGAGGAGAAAGACCTTTATTCATGCTTCGATTCCTTCGACTGCATTACAAACAGCCTTCAAAAAAAGGCAATAAACAAAGTCAAGTATCTCATTCTTTGAAAATCTTTGCCAAATTTCACAGGAGGAAGTTTTATTCGCTTCAACCTTCTTTTCCCAATCACAGAGCACCAAGAATGGTTCTGGAACAGAATACCAATAAAACACATGGCAGCTAATACAATCAGCTATCTTGGAGACCTGGCAATCTGCAGTGTCAGGACTAGAAAATCTACAGTTCCTCCAGATGTTGCTCAACAACTATCCCAGCATACTTCACATCAGCCATGGAAACTGGAACTGCTGGAAATTGTCATTCAGTAACATTTGGAAGGCCACTAGTTCCTATCCCTTTAAAAAAACATAAAATTGTGGCTGTTAGCCACTTTCAATAGTCTGGAAATTTTTCTGTGGTTACTCAGTAAGAGGAAATTTTTCCTTAACCATTCCCAGTGCAGAGACCGACTCACATTTAATAGGCCTTTATGCTTAAAATTTTGGTTTCTATTTTATTTAGCTAACAGATTCCCCCAAAGGCTAATATATTCTCTGATACATGTAGTATGTGATACGTACTATAGTTAGTATAGCAAAAGTTATGAGAATACCAATGACTCTTGTTGTGTTTGCATTATAATTTTACATTAAAAATTTAAAATAATAAAAAGGTAAGTTTAAAACTATTTTAATAGATGGAGCTGATATATTTCATAAGGAAGCAATGATTTAATTGCACAATGGAGCACTAGGTACAGGCAATAAAAACAGGCAGGATAGTTTACTTACACTGACAATTGTAGAAACGAAGAGAAGAACAAGCACCGAGATATGGAGCACAATGATTCCCAACAACAAAAGGAGCATTTTGGCAAAAGTGTTCAGTAGATCTGGAAAGGGGGAAAATACCTTTTAAGCAGAGGTGAAAATGTTTACTCATGGATGAGGTTAGGCAAACCTGAATTTAAGAAATGAACAGCAGAGGGTGCCTCTGAGACAGAACATAGCAATGTTTTAAGGCTTGGTTTATGATCACTTAAAGAAATTCACCAAATGTGTTTTTGTTTTATGCAGAATGAAGCTAAAAATATGCATGAAAGTGGGAGAGTTTCCAATTCTTAACTAGGGGTTTTAAGTATAAAACATAATTTTGTGTGTCTGAATGTGATTGTTTGGAGAAGTAAAGGCTAAGATTTGAAATCATTTGAATTTGGGGGGGGGGGACAGGGTTTGGGGACTTTCACTGCAACCACATGGTAACTACCTTAACAGTTGCAGAAACTGCAAGAAAAAGGATGTTGCATTCTCTACCAAACAATCCATAAAATACACATCTTGAATAACTTTTCTTCCCCAATCAGATTCCCTTTTTTCTTTCCTCCACTTTGGAAAAGTTATGTTTATGCCTGGCGTACTGAGTCTAAATGCCATAACATTCCTCAAAGTTTCCCTCCAGCCTACAGGAGAGCTCTCCTCCGAAGAGAGACGGCAGACAAAAATCTCTTTTCTGAGGGTGCAACTTGAATCGTGTTAAATGTCTAAAAGTAGGAAAACAGTGCCATGCTTGGACTAGACCTCGGAGACTGGCTGAGGTAGTTTAGGAGGCGGGGAATGGAAACAGTTATGCCACAAAGTCACAACTCTTTTTTGAATCATCGGCATCTGCAAACCAATAAACCGCCAATCCCTCAAATTCACAGCCCAGCTATAGATAATAAAATAAACCGGACAATTATGGGGGGGAGGGGGGAGAAGGAGATTTTTCATGCTTATATAGTATTGGACAGGATAAAACGAGGGAGGGAGAAACAGATAAAACCCTGAAAGTTTAAAAAAAAAGTGACAACTGAGCGGGGTGTTGCTAACGCAGCAAAGATAATGGGGAACCTGATGAACTTAATCTAGGTGGGAAAAAACCTCTCCGTGTATTTAATTACAAACTAGGAAAATGGGAAACCACTACCACACCACCATAAACACACACACACACACACTCACCACACTTCAGTCTACCAATGGACTGCAGGGAGGAACTAAATTCCAGGCAGAGGGAAATGGGGGTAGGGGGTGGGGGTGGAGAGGTTTACGTGCTAAAATATTTCAACCCGTTTCTAATTATATCAAGGGCCGGCATGATTTAGAGCGGCTAGTTTTCAAAACGGGAACTGAAGCTTTATATTAAGATCTGAAAAAATCCCGAACCAGAACCAAAAATCCCGAACCAGAGGTCCAGTCAAGCTGAAGAGGGTCTCTCCCGTTTCACACACACACACCCCTCACGCTCCTCCCAATGAATGCGCAATTTAGCCCGCTTAAGATGCAGGGAAGGGAGGGAGGAATAATAATAGCAGTCGTGGATTTGCCATATCCCTATATTGTACCCCTACAATAAAAGTGCCGGGAGTCTTCGGGGTACTAAGGAGGGCGATTTAGAACAGACACCCCCACCCAGAATGGAGTTCCCTGTCCCATCAGAAGAATTGAGTTGGAAATGAAGCGGCCTACTTACTCCGCTGCAATTCGTTTTAATTTCTGCCGGGTGTTTTTCTGCCGCTCGCTCCTTATCACTGGTGGTGGGAGGGGAGAGAAAGGCGCCCCAAAAGAGGAAAGTCCGAGAAAGCGGCTGCCCGCGTTTTTTCTCGCCGAAGACGAGGGGCGGGAACTCAAAAACGTGTCGCCCTTCAACAGGAAAAACGCCCCACTCACGGCGGGGCGCCTAGCGTTCTGTGTATGTGTAACACGCCGACGGCAGGCTGGCCGTGCCCCAGCTATAAATACTTTCCCCTAGGAGAAGGGGATGAGATAACGGGGCCCTTCTTTATTGCAGGGGCTTGCGGCGCCTACAACCGAGCGGAGGAGAAATACCTCTCCCACAAAACTTGCCTTTCTCTTGCAACTCCCAACCAACTCCCTTTTTTTATGAGCCCTAGTAATGAGCCTTCATTAGGGAGAGCGCGAAAAAAGAGGCGAGCCAGGTATAGGTCGCGCGCCTCATCAGGGCAGGTGCCGCCTTTCCAGGACGGATATTCCTCATTTCAATCCCGGCAAACTCCCTTCCCTTTCCCACACCTGATCCCACGTAAGGGACTCTCCCTCGCCCCGTTAAAAAGAGAGCAGCGCCCCTGCCAGGGCCCCCACCCTCTCTGCTTTCCATTATCCTCGCCGCCGAGAGAAATCTGGAGGGGAATCATAAGAAGCCTTCGGAAGGATGCGCAAAGAGGGCTTTCTCTGAGGTTGGTGGGGAGTTATTTAGGAGCACAGAGGCGCCAAGGATTGCAGAGAACACGTACCACACCACGTCTCCCAACGGCGTTGGTTACCTATAGTGCGCCTACTTCACACATTCGCTTCACACAGAGAGAGAGCGAGAGCGCCAAATGGGGGGCACAGTACTCCCTTAGAGGGAAACCTTATTACTTCCCTCGTCCCACAAGTGATAGCCGTCGGTCCCGTATCGTGAATGATGCCTCCCTCCACCACCCCCGAGGCTTTCAAACCGCTCTCTTCCCTTCCCACGTTTTGGCTTCTCCCTGGCCCAAAACCGGGAGGACTGCGAGGGGTGCGCCTCCCTCCTCGCAAGGTCTCCTACGAAGTTGTCCGCCTGCGACTAATTTCCTCGTGCAGAGCCTTCTCTCTCTCTCTCTCTCAGCCTTTCGAACAGCGCTGGTACTGTATAGAAACGGGGCGGGACTAACCCATTGATAACTGTCCAGCGAGTTTCTCTGCTGCCCCCCCCCCCCCCCCCCCCCCCCCCCCGCCCCAAAAAACCAAGGGGGCCGCCCCTGGGGCGATTTTTTTCGTTAAAAAAAAAAACAGGCTCGTGTGATGTCCCCGAAAAACTTCGACTCCCGAGAGGCGAACCTGTAGAAAAGTTTACCCTAGACTGGAGTGAAGATAATAATAACTCTCGTCCTCGCCGTGTGTTGACTTACCAAGGCTGAAAAACCGCGCGCTTCCTTTGCAGCAGTATTCCCTCAAACAAGAGGACCCGGTGGTTTAAACTCCAGGAACCGAGTCCCGCCTAGCCAAAGCCGTCGCAAACCACTCCGGTGTATATCAGCGAATGGGACAAGCCCCAGCTGTTTGCAATCCCTTTACTGCTAGCGCAGATCTCGTGCTTACTCGGTTTATTCGGCCCCCGTTCCAACGCCCAGATATGTCATGGTGGCCTGAGAGAGAACACCCTGAACTATTTAAAGGGGCAGCGCCTCTATCTTTATCCCCCAGCAAGGAACACAGCAAGCACGCAGAACTTAAGGGAGGGGGGGAGAGAGCGAAGCATTACTCCGCGAGGGTGTGGCTTTTTGAGGACTCTTCCCCCTCCCCCGCACGACGGAAAAGGCACGTGAACTATCAAAAGCGACGAAGGGGTCGAGTTCGTAATATCCCTGGCAGCTGTCACTCAAATACCAACGCGAGGGGAAAGACCCTATAGTGCAGTATCGTATCTGGGGATTCACTGGGAAAGATAATGGAAACCCTACAGTTGGTTTCCCTCCTCTGTTCAAAGACAGCTTAGTTAAAAGTATTAAAGAGACCCTCTTTAGAAACTTTTTAAATCCTACTACTGTGTTTCCCACATTTGAAACAACCACCAAACTCTGGACTTCGAATGCTGTGCCTTCTTTAATATATGGGTTTTATTTTTTACACTCTGTTTAAGCATTTTGGAGGAATTCTTGAACAAGTGGTTGACTGACTGTGACTCTCCCATGTTTATTTATACGTCATATTTGTATTGCCATGGATCTCACAGAAAAGTGACACTTGGTGGTGGCATGATAAAAATCATAAAATCGAAATATTGAAACAAGTTTAGTTAAAAATCCCTATACATATTAAAAGCAAGGCAGTAGAGAAAAATAGATGTTAAAAACAATGCAGCCATCTTATTAGACCACTGTGAGATCTCCAAGCCTGCTGATACAGCCATGTTTTGAGGGCCTTACGGAAGGATAACAAAGATGGACAATTGCACTTTGGAGGGGATGATGTTCCATAAGGCAGGTGCCAATGGAAAAGACCGATCTTCTGGGTCCCTTTAAATGAAACTGTTTTGTAGATAGCACCCACAGCATAGATCCGTTGCCGGAAATGATGGGGTGGGTACAGTGGCGGGTTCCAAATGGTGTTGCTACCAGTTTGCACGCACACTGCACTTCTGCACATGCGCAGAAGCATCTGGGTGGGTGGAGCCTCCCGTCGCCACTGCTACCGGTTTGTCCAAACCGGTGCGAACCGGTAGCAACCCACCCGGGGCCGGATTTAGATGAAAAGAGGCCCTAGGCTATTCCACTTATGAGGCCCTTTCACCTATAGTGAAAGTGTAATTTTAATTTTGCTAACAATTTGAATGATCTTGAGGCCCTAGGCTGAAGCCTAGTTAGCCTATAGGAAAATCCGGCCCTGAACCCACCACTACATGGGCAGATATAATCAGGCAAAGATGGTCCATCAAATAATCCACCACATGCCATGAAGAGTTTTGAAGATCAAAACCAGCACCTTGAATTGGACTCAGAAGCAAACTAGCAACCAATGCAGCTCACAGAGCAAAGGTATGATATGTGCCATTCTAGGGGCACATATAACTACCTGTGTTGCTGTATTTTGCACCAGCTAAAGCTTCTGGACACTCTTGAAGTGCAGCCTCATACAGAGGGCATTGCAACAATTCACCTATTTTAAGTGGTGAACAGGGTATGAGTGATTCTGAGATGGCATAGTCCAGTGATGGCTAACCGTTTTTTCCTCAGGTGCCAACAACACACGTGAACATGGGACAGCGTGTGTGTGCCCACACCCATAATGCAATGCTCCCCGTGCCCCTGCGCATGCAACCCGCCTGCAGTCCCCCACCCCCTGCACATGCGTGCACAACCCCCACGCTCCCTCCACGCATGCACGCACGACCCCCCGTGTCCTGTTTTGGGCCTAGCAGACCTCCCTGAAGCCTCCTGGGACCAAAAATGAGCCTTGGGGGGGAGCACGCTGCACCCCCCTGCCCCCACACATCCCCAGCTCTACTTTACACACACACACACACAAGTATGCCTATCAGATAGAAGATCTTTGTCAAGTAAAGGCTGCAGTGCCATGTGGACTGCCTAAGGAACTCCTCTTGAATCCACTGACAATTCTTAATAACTACATTGAGAACCAGATTGGGTGTCATCTGATCAAGGTATCACCAATGCAATTAATTCCATTTGAAAGCCAATTGGGCTTCCTTTCGATACTGCATGGGAATTCTGTTTTTATTTATTTATTTGTGAAGCCCTCTCATGCCCTTTCTGATTATATATTTCATTCATTAGACTGGAGAGCACAGGGTTTCCAAACTTTAGTTTAACTTACGAGAGAGAAATGAAAAGTAATGCATGTGCCAAGACAAATTAAGCCATCTCAATGTTACTTAAGCAAATAATTAATCAGAATTTCCCTAAGGCATAAGTTATTCAAAGGAGAGAAAAAAAAGTGAGGTTTGATTAATTGAATCTTGTCTAAATAATGATTTTGTGCTGATTTTTTTTTTTTTACTATGTACCTGAAAAGCTGATTCTTGCCTCCTCCTTTTGCTGATCTGAATTCATATTTTGCCTTGAAATATTCTGGTAATTGACATTCTAAAGGGGAAAAAATTCTAGGCCTTTAATGGCATGCAGATAAATGCAGCTTGTTTCGAAGATCTGAGTAGGCACTTTGTTCTCAGCTCACAATGCCCACTTTATTTTAGCTGGTGTTTTATAGAGTGCTTGGCTTTTAAGAGTTCAGAGTTGATAACAAGAAATCAAGGGAGGTATCACTGTAGGGAAATGAGCAGGAGATACTTCTATATGTTTTTTTGGGAGACATACAGCAAATTTTCATGTGATCATGAAGCATGTGGCTGGCTGATAATTGGCAGCCTCACTAAAATTAACTTCTGATATGGGTATCAAAGGCAGTATTTTACACCATTGCCTTACATGGAATTATTGTATTTAAACTTTGTTAGCAATTAGGTGACTGAAACAGAGGGACAAGACATAAAAATATGATCACATGGCTACACTGTAACAGTCATTTGGATTTTTGCCCATAAATTCAAAATGAAAGTGTCAAAACTCTGTAGAGATATTGATTTATTAGATTTTTAACAACTTTTATTACTTAATAAGTAAGTCAAGGCATACCGAATATTCCTTCTTCCTCCTGTCTTCCCCACAACAGCAACCCTGTGAAGTGCATTGGACTGAGAAAGAGTGACTGGCCCAAAATCACCCAGCCAGTTTTCATGCCTAAGGTGGGACTAGAACTCACAGTCTTCTGGTTTCTAACCACTACACCGGATAGAGACATAGACAGACAGACACGTATGGATACATATACAGATACTAGATTTTTTTTACTTTGAGTGGTTTTCAGGAATTGGCCATATGGGAGGAAAAATATGTTCAAATAATATCTTATATACAGCTTCACAGTGCTTTATAGCTCTAAGCGGTTTACAGAGTCAGCATATTGTCCCCAACAATCTGGCTCCTCATTTTATGGACCTCGGAAGGATGGAAGGCTGAGTCAATCTTGAGCCTGGTGAGATTTGAACTGCCAAATTGCAGGCAACTGGCAGTCAGCAGAAGTAGCCTGCAGTACTGCACTCTAACCACTGCACCACCAAGGCTCATAATATGGTAATTTTTCAACTGGGTTGTATATCCAAATCAAATCCGTTAATATTTTATGACAACTAAATTAGCAATAATTTAATGCCTAATAAAACTAATCTAGACATAATATATACCAAATAAAACTTAAGAGAATGAAATTAAAGAGTCAACCCAACTTTCTACAAACTCTAGTCCCTGGGTGTGGTTAGAAAGGATGTGAAAAGCGATCTGACTTAAGTATAGTTCAGAACAGAGAGAGTTTTAACAAGTTAAATGGTTCCTCAGCCAGCTCCGTCTTCTCCAAAATATGGTTGTCTGCTAACAGAGGCTGGCAGTAGCAGGAGGAAATGTTGAGAAGTGGCAATTGTGATAAGTCCTCTTCCTCAGGCAGTTGGAAGTCCCAGCTGCTTTCTGTTCATGGAAAGAAGAGAGATTTATTCAACAAACTCCCCATGCTTGTAAAATTTAAAAAAAATGTTTTTCTCTAGAATTTTATATCTTGTTTATTTCAGTTCAACTACCAGTTTGATGAAGACCAAATTTGTAGATCTTTCTGTCTAAAGTTGAATTTTGTTAAATAGAATGACTAGGAAGGAGACAGTTCCTTAATGTACAGTGACTATCAATATATCCAAGCTTATTCTCTGATGGTTTTCCTCAATCTTACTGCAATTCAGTCTCAACAAATAAACCCAGAGCTGTTCTTATTGGCCAGCACAAGAACTTTCAAAATACCTCCAGCTGATGCTATAAAGTGGGCTGGGGACACACTCCCACTCCAAAGCAATTTATCTTGAAATCCTATCCCTCCTAGAGGCCCCAGTGTGTATAGGGAAAAGGACACAGGGAATGATCATGTACATTGTTCTTCAAACAGAGAAGGAGTTGATTTTCCCTGTACAGAGTGATTTTACTAAATATGGTTTCTTCTCTGGCATAGGAAAAAAAGGTGTTTTCCAAATGACTTATATTATTGTATCATACCATAAGCCATCCTAGCATTCCCAGCTAGCCTGGGCCAAATGACCAAAACCAAGATTGCAAGGTGCAGAAGTATAATAAATATTCTAAAATATACAGAATGTAAAACAGCTTGTTCCAAAATAATAATGTCTTCAGGAAAAACCCAGAAACATGGGGGATTTGTGTCTAGTTCTGCTTGAATAAGGCAGTGAAAGAACTGTAGATTTGAACCGATTTGGTCCTTTCTAAATATAGCCTTTAGATTAGTGCAACATTAATATTTGAATCTCTCCTATATGTTGATATTTAAAGTAACATTGCAATTTAGTAAAAGCTATGGGAGTGGTTCTTGAAGTTACAAGAGGTCTTGATTTATCTCCATTTTAAAAGCAGAGAAAAATCTAGAATCACTAATCCATTTCCTAGAGTCATTGTACTGGCCTATAAATGGTGGACATGGTAGCAAAAGGGTTTTTTTTAAAAATGTTCAATTGTGTTCAATTTTCAGAAACTGTCTTGACACGTTCCTGCAATTTTCTTGGCAAAGTTTTTCAGAAATGATTTGCCCTTGCCTCCTCCCTAAGGCTGAGAAAGAATGATTGTCTCAAGATCACCCAGCTGGCTTGCGTCTAAAGCAGAACTATAACTCACAATCTCTTGATTTCTAGCCTGATGCCTTAACTACTTAGACCCAACTGGCTCTCTACCATAAGAGTAAGTTTGTGTTTATATATGACTTCCAACTTTAAAATGATCTGTGCTGCAAAAAATTATCTTTAGGATCACATAAAGCATCATCAACATTTGTATTTCTTCATCTCTCACATCATCCACTTCAGGCCCTCCATAAACCAAGGGGAGCTAATCTGATAAATCAGAGGGGGAAAATATAATACATTTAAATTCCCATCCCACCTTTTTATTATAATTTTAAACTTGGCTGTATTTCTCTTTTTCTCCTTTGTATGCTCACCCGAGTTGACTACTTATATGTACAGTCTAAGCTGCTAGCTAGCAACTTACAGCTGGAGCAATACCTTTAGCCAAAAGAAAGCCAGCCTTGTCATGAGGCAAACTAAAATCCTATCTTTCAATGGCTAACTGGGGAGATTCAAATGTACCATTTTGGGCATAAAAGTCTGGCATTAATCTGGATCCTGCTTAAGTTAGCTCTGAGTTAAATAAATTCCAAAATGCCCACTCAAATATTTTAAAAACATAAATATTTTAATTCAAACATCTAGTTCATATATGGCATGGCTTGTTTAACCATGATTAAATGGATCTTTTGCTACATACGAAACCAAGAGAATACTAAACCAGGGGTATCTTCTGTAAGACTGAAAGCTACTCTTGTCCTTTGACTGGCAGGCTGGGGGTTGCACTCCAGAAAGAAGTATATGACTCAAGAGAAAAACTAAAGTTGATATAATTTAATTTTGTAATAAAATTAAATGTTACTTAATACACTTAATATGCCCATTTTCCAGGTATTTAATGGTTTTTCCATGCATTTAATGGTTTCTCCCCTTCTGTCACTTTAACAATTATCATTTGGCAGCAACTTTTAGAGAATTTAGGAAGCTAAACCAAGATTTTGAGAAGCCATAAATCACCTCAGGTTGGGCAACCTACTCAAATATCTAAACTGTTAGATCGGGCGCAGGAAAGGAAGACGTGACTAGCTCGATACATTAAGTAACTTTATTCGCTACATAAGTAACAAGACAAGACTGCAGGCGCGCTGCCGGGGCTCTCCTTATATTCGCTCCCGGCAGACGCACCGCCCCTTGACAGGGATTCAAATCTCCCACCCGATGGCTCGCAGCCAATCCGGGCGGATGTCCTTATAAGGACATAACATAAACCATGGCTTATTAACTGCATGTGTGCTCACTAATTCAAAGCCAGTTAAAGTACATTATGTATGGCTTAGTGTAGCATGTAAACTTTTCACACCTCTAGTTCACACAGCAGTATAATCACAGATGTGTTTTTCAGAGAAGTAAGACAGTCAGAGGAGCCAACTTCCCTCTGGGGAAATGGGTTTAAGAGTGCAGTCTATGTTTTGCAATGAAAATCTGCATTTCAGACAAGTATTTGAATCTCTGGTAAATTAAAATACAAATAATGTTCCAGTTTGTGAAACAGAAACAGTTTGATCCTGATATGAGAAATCACAACTTAAAGCTCTTAAACAGAAAAAAATAAAACACCTTTCATCTTATCCTTTGTCCAGCAGAAGCTGGCCAGAGAGAGCCACTCTTTTCCACTCAAGCCAGAAACATTTTAAAGTGAGAAATATGCCAAACTCAGTTAGGAAAAGGCTAGAGCTAAGGAAGACTCATCTGGCAGAATCTCCTAGATTGGAAAACGAGGAGGAAGCACATACATGAGCTCTCGCATCCTGCCAGTATCCTGTCTCAGAAAGTCTCTTTTTGGAAGGAAAACTAGTCCAAGCAGACATGGGGCCTCTGGACTTATTTATTGAGCATGTGGTTTCCATTATAGCTCCAGGGATTTTAAAACTATGCTGCTTCCAAATATTTTTAATCACGTGAACAAGCCACATGGAAAGTTATTTGCCTTCCTTCTGCAAAGGGAAGGGATGAGGAGAGCTGAGCTATTCAGACAGTAGATTTAATTTAGAGACATAAAAAGAACCAGATTCCTAAATTAATCTTACAGACTTTTCTTTTGGTATAGCACAGGATCTACTTTAGGATTCCATGCAACAGAATAAACTTGCATAGGATTTCTGCAGACATTTTCCAGTGCTCCTATGAAAGGGTCTGGAACTAATGGAAAAAACAGAAGCAGATGTTTCTGGTGTTTGAAGCACTATTCTGGACTAATATTCAATATGCCCCAACCAAGTCACAGTGTGTAGTTACAGCATGTTTCAATAGCACCAAGACCAGGAAGGCTGAAATATGGTATTTAACTAGATGAATTGAGAGGTTTCAGGAATGAGTTCATTTAAAATATGCACTAACTATGATATATTGAATATGTCTGTATATTTTAAGCCATAAGTCATGTATCAGAACCATAATGATGGGTTTACACAATGCATTAAGCCAGGGCCTCTCACATTCTGTGATACCACAAGCCACTAAAATGATAAATTATTTGGCAATCCAACCCAAGTAAAATAAAGGTTTTCATAGGGGTTAGGATGTGCAAGAAATAAATATAACACTTTTCAGTACAGAAATGTATTCAGTAATACATTTGTAATGTAGATATCACAGGTATCTCAAACTTTGTAGTATCACAATCACTTGTCTAGGCAAAACAGGAGTGAGTTTTGATTTGCTTGGCAGAGCTTGGACAATCTCAAAACTCACCTGAGACTTCACTCCTCACTTGACCTGTAAGGCCCAATTCACATTTTTAAAATATAATACAGACTACAGTTTCAGAACACTTGGCATACCTAAAGAAAAATAATAACCAAAATAAACAATCCCAGTTCAATGCCGCACATCTCTGATCCTATCCCATCAGTTCTGATGGCTGCTCAACCAATTTTCTTCTGTTTGACTTTGTTGTGGTTAAACCCTGGAGCACCTTCGAGAAGTAAATCAGGTTTGTTTCACAGTGGACATGATTCCAGTTGATCCTCTATTATTTCTGCATTTTTCCTATAAAACTACTAAGCTGTTTGAATGCCCCAAGGGTCATACTTTGTAGCCACTGGATTTACATTATTTCTTAATTTATCAAAAGTCCATAAAGCAAGCTTCAAAAAATGACTTGTTCTGATATTGTCCAGAATTTAATTGAAGCCTTTGGTGACTCACCTTCTAAATCATCTGTATCCACATGTTTCCCCTTCTTTAAGCAATGGAAATAGGGATAAAATGTCTATGAATTTTGCAGGTATTGCTGGCTTCTTCACATTGGCTGGTGGAAACTGAGTCCAACTGCAAATGGAGGGAAACAGCACCCAGCAATACCTAAAAAATAAAAATAAAACAAGTTCTGACTCCAGCATCCATTCTTCTCTCCCTCCAAGCCCATTATCTGAGTAGTGGCATGGAGAGCATTGAACAAGTCACAGTTCTAGCATCCTGGACTTAAATGGCTTAGATTTTGGTACAAACTGTAAGGATAGTTTATTTATTTATTTATTTATTTATTGTGATTTATATGCCGCCTTTCTCCCTAGGGACTCAAGGCGGCTTACAAAAAGACAACTTCAATACAAATCACAATACAATACCAAATTAAAATCAGTAACCCAATTAAAAACGATTTAAAATTATATCAGTGTACCCCCAAACGGATCAGTTTAATTGGCGGAAGAGCCACGTCTTCAGCTCGCGACGGAAGGAAAGAAGGTCGGGGGCTATCCTGAGCTCAGTGGGCAATCCATTCCAGAGGGTCGGGGCTCCCACAGAGAACGCCCTCCCCCTGGGGGTCGTCAGCCGACATTGTTTGGCCGACGGCACCCTGAGGAGGCCGACTCTGTGAGAGCGCACAGGACGATGGGAGAACTGCTGGAGATGGTCCTGCAAGTAACCCGGGCCTAAGCCATGAAGGGCTTTATAGGTGAGCACCAGCACCTTGAAACGTATCCGGAGTGCCACCGGTAGCCAGTGCAGCTCACGCAGGAGAGGTGTTACACGGGAGTATCTAGACGCCCCCGTAACTACCCGCGCGGCTGCATTTTGGACTAACTGAAGCCTCCGGACACATCCCAAGGGCAGCCCCATGTAGAGGGTGTTACAGTAGTCCAACCTAGAGGTAACAAGGGCGTGAGTGACCGTGGCGAGGGCATCCCGGTCTAGGAACGGGCGCAACTGGCGCACAAGACGGACCTGTGCGAAGGCCCCCCTGGTTACGGCCGTCAGATGATCATCTAAAGACAGCCGAGAATCCAGGAGGACACCCAAGTTGCGGACCCTGTCGGAGGGAGCAAGGGTTTCACCTCCGATCATTAAGGATGGAACCTCCAGATCCCGGGATGCCGGCATCCACAGCCACTCAGTCTTGGAAGGGTTGAGTCTGAGCCTGTTCCTCCCCATCCAAACCCGCACCGCTTCCAGGCAGTGGGACATCACGGAAAGGGCATCCCTAGGGTGGTCAGGGGTGGAGATGTAAAGCTGGGTATCATCAGCATATTGATGATACCTCACCCCAAAACCACGGATGATCTCACCCAGCGGTTTCATATAGATATTAAAGAGCAGAGGAGAGAGAACCGAGCCCTGAGGCACCCCACAAGTGAGAGGCCTCTGGGAGGATCCCTGACCCCCCGCCCAAACAGACTGCAGACGGCCCAAGAGATAGGAGGAGAACCACTGTAAAACAGTGCCTCCTAACCCTATCCCCCTGAGCCGCTGCAGCAGGATACCATGGTCGATGGTATCGAATGCCGCTGAGAGGTCAAGAAGGACCAGGATGGAGGAGCAACCCCCATCCCTGGCCCGCCAGAGATCATTTACTAGGGCGACCAATGCCGTTTCCGTGCTGTGGCCACGCCTGAAACCAGATTGGTAAGGATCCAGGTAGTCAGTTTCCTCCAGGAATTGAGGGAATTGCTGTGCCACCACGGACTCAACAACCTTCGCTAAAAAGCGAAGGTTGGAGACTGGACGGTAGTTGTTAAGTACGTCTGGATCCAGGTTAGGCTTCTTAAGGAGGGGTCGTTTGGTATAGTGCAGGGGTCAGCAACCTGCAGCTCTGGAGCCACATGTGGCTCTTTCAACCCTCTGCTGTGACTCCCTGTTGCTGTTTTGACTCCACAATTGATAGGGCTTTCAGTTAGGATAGGTAGAGGAAAAAGGACAATGTGCTAGGAGGAAGCTCTATGGTGGAAGAACCAGACTTCCGGTCAGCAGAGGAAAAAGGACGCCGCACTAGGAGGAGACTATGATGGGGGAACCAGACTTCCGGTCAGCTGTAGAATTGAACGGGGGCTTCCAGTTAGGACCTTTGTGGCTCTTTGAGTGTTTAAGGTTGCCAACCCCTGATGTAGTGGCTAAAGCGCTGGCTTAGAAACCAGGAGACTATGAGTTCTAGTCCCACCTTAGACATGGACACCAATTGGGTAACTTAGGGCCAGGCACTGTCTCTCATTACCACCCACCACACAAGATTGTTGTTGTGAGGAAAATGGGAATAAGAATGAATATTATGTATGTTTACCACCTTGGGTTACTCATAAAGTAATAAAGGAAGGATAAAAGTCAAATAAATAATAAAATTGCTCTGCATACTGTATCATGACAATTTCCTGAACATTTTTGTTTGTTTCTTTGTTTTGGTATTAGTAGCTTGAGAGAAGTAGCTGCTCCTCATTGCTTATTTCAGAGTCAGATCCTGGATTAATATTCAGGATGAAAGAATTGACTTGTTTTTATCTCATGTCATGCCAACACAAAAGCAATGATGATAATAATCTATTCCTATTCGGTTGGTATATCTGAACATTGTAAATTCTAGGTGATTTTTATCTCTTATCTTTTTTACCAGTACACTATATAAACCATATGATTTCTACAAATACTTTGAATGAGTTCTCATGAAACAGGAAATTCTGTCCAAGTGCAAGGTTACTGAGGGAAGGTTACCTGTTGACATAAACATGGGTTGGGTTTTACGATGGCAGCATGAGGAGAATCATGAGTCAGAATAATTTCTGATGTGGGCAACCTTGCTATATTTAGAAATATGGTAGCTGGATTATACAATGTGATTGAACTGCAAGACTTCGGTTTTGTGATCTTTGATATTAATCTAAGGAAATGCTTTAAATATATAAACCCAGTGTGTTTAATAAAGCATCACTTGAAAAATAAGGCACAGTAATTAATGACTTTCATTTAAATGGCCTCTCCAAGCAGCTCTGGGACAACTCTGTACAATGAAATTCTGTGTGTGCTTTTTTACCTACTGCATGTATGTAAAACATACATACTGCATGTATTCTACCTTGCTGGATCATAAATTGGCCAATTATCTGCTAGAGAATAAATACATTGTCCAGTCATTGTATTTATTCATGATTTAGAGCCCTGAAAGTCTGCGTGTCTTCGCTACAGAACATTGACTGCAACCAAAGGGGTATCAACCTACTGCACTGATGCATGTCATGAACTGTATATGCAGGTTGATTAGAAGCCTTCATGAAATGCTCCCAGTTCGGATCGGATCGCCCGACCCGGTAGCAATGGCGGCGGGTGGTTTGGAGAACTGGTAGCAAAAATCCCTGCGCCCCCCCCCCATGCCCAGCTGAGCCGCGCAATTATCAGAGGCTTTTTTTTTTTACTTTTAAAAGCATTTTTTCTACAACCTCTTCTGCTGAAAAAATGCTTTTAAAAGTAAAAAAAAAAAGCCTCTGATGATCACGTGGCTCAGCTGGGATCGACAGAGGCTTTTAAAGGCATTTTTTCTACAACCTCTTTGGCCAAGGAGGTTGTAGAAAAAATGCTTTTAAAAATAATAATTAAAAAAAGTTGGCCACACCCACCTAGTCACATTACTCCCCCCACCAAGCCACGCCCACAGAACCAGTAGTAACAAATTTTACATTTCACCACTGCCTCCAAACATAATTTCAGCAAAATAATAAGTAGATCTTGAGAAAAAATAATATAAATAGATAACAGATCTTCTAAAGCATGAGTACTATGAGTGGCATAGCTGAAATTTTATCCAAGATGCAATAGCCTTACATTCTTTCCTTTTTTTCTACATATTGTAACAATCATTGGCAGTGACATGCATATCTGACAATGATTGTTTCCAAGGAAAGCATTTGGCTAAATGTAACTAATAATACTGGCACTAGAAGGGTTTACACTGTAGACTCTACAGTGTTTATGGGGTACTTACCTCCTGTTCCTTGCTTACAGTTGCAATTGTCATTTTGAGTCATCGTGCATTAAGAAATATTGCACACAGATTGCTTTTAGATTGGAGAGAATGACTCCAAGGGACAGCTATCCATATAAATGAAAGCTGTGAATGAATAATCAAATTCATTTGGAGACAATAAGAAGAAGGAATTAGCCAGGCAACAGGCATGGTGTAATTGGTTGCATGCAGGTGTAGATTAACACAAGATGTATGCCATAAAAATGTTTTTGTTTTTGTTTTTGTTTTTTTAAATGAATCGGGCAAGGAAGTAAGAAAGAGCCTTTGTTAGACAATGAATTCGAAAGACAGTAAGGGAGAAAGCATATGAAATAAGAAATAGAGAAATAAATACATGTGAGAGCAATGATCAAGAAATGCGTAGCTGCTTGTGTAACCTGCATGTTATCAACTGACCTCTCCAAACCAAACATCTGCCAAATAATTCTTGTTAAAATTAGAACATTAGCTGTGAGTTTTATTTTGACAACTTGGCAAGGATAGAATTTCTGTGAAGTTCACCAAAATCTATGGATCTTCCTCCAAATGTGTTATGTAAAAATCCAAACATACTTTTAATCAACAAAGACTGTAATCCATAATTGAACAACCTTCATTAATGCCTCTATTGTATTGTACAGATGAGTGGGTTAGTGTTGGTATGGAGGAGGGCGATTCCATCAGGACTGTCGGTGGGAGGGGCAGATATGGTGGGAGCAGGGGGCCACATCATGTTGTGGGGGCACGTGCCCATTGTCTCCAAGCGGTGACGTGCTTCGGCCCCCAATGCTCACCTCGTTCCCTGGGTTGTCCAGAGTCTCAGAGCCCCGGTCTTAGGCTGATGCTGTGCAACACCAGGTCCGTGGTTAACAAAGCCCCCCTCATCTATGAGCTGATTCAGGAGGGGGGAGCGGACCTGGCGGGTATTACAGAGACCTGGTTGGGCCAGGAGGGGGGGTCCCCCTCATTGAGATGTGCCCACCGGGTTTCCATGCATTTCATCAGCCGAGGGCCCAGGGTAGGGGTGGGGGAGTGGCGGTTATTGTAAAGGAAGGCCTCAATTCTAGGGAGGCCACTGTACCTCAGATAGCCGGATGTGAGTCTCTCCTTGTGAAGTGGGGCCATGGGATGCAGGTGGGCTTGCTGATTGCATACCTGGCTCCCTGCTGCATGGCAGCGGCCCTGCCCAAGCTCCTCAACGTCATAGCCAGGGTGGCGGTTGATACCCCCCGGCTTTTGGTCATGGGGGATTTCAACCTGCAGTCCATTGGTGGAACGTTGGAGGTGGCTCGGGAGTTCATGGCTTCCATGACAGCCATGGACCTGACCCAGTTAATTCATGACCCTACTCGCACAGGAGGACACACTCTGGACTTGGTTTTTGTCTCTGGTCAGTGGTTGAATGGTCTAGATACAGGGGATATAGTCATCGAACCCTTGTCATGGTCAGACCATTCTCTCCTTAGACTTGACTTCCTGACCACTACACCCTGCTGCAGGGAGGCAGAACCAACTAGGTGGTTCCACCCCAGGTGCCTGATGGATCCTGATAGGTTCCAAATGGAGCTTGGGCCATTCCCTGAGAATCTGGCTCACGACTCGACGGAAGACCTGGTGGCTGCCTGGGACAGGGCGGCTGCTGGTGCTTTAGATCGGGTCGTGCCTTTGTGGCCTCTAACCCGGCGCCGAATCAGCCCATCTCCTTGGTTCTCCAAGGAGCTGAGGGAGATGAAGCGCCAGAAAAGATGCCTAGAGAGTAGTTGGAGGGCTAGTCGTTCTGGATCTGACCAAGCACTAGTGAGGTCTTATATCAAGACCTACTTAGTGGCGATAAAAGCGGCAAAGTGTAACTACTTTTTCGCTCTTATCACGTCGGCAGATAATCGCCCAGCTGCCCTGTTTAGGGTGACCCACTCCCTTCTCCACCTGGGAGCGTGGGAAGACCCCTTGCAAGGGCGTGCTGAGGATTTTGCACATTATCTGCACGATAAAATTGCTCAAATTCAGGACAGCCTGGACTCTGACTGGGTGGGTTCAGGCGAGGTGTCCAAAGCTGGTCTTGAGAATGTTATCTGGGAAGAGTTTGATCCTGTGACTCCCAAAGACGTGGACAGGATGCTGGGGAGGTTGAACGCAACCACATGTTTATTGGACCCGTGTGTTGTGACTCCAATCCCGAGCCCGTCTTATCAGAGGGAGAAGACTCTGAAGGTGAAGGAGAGGAGTTGGCCAGGCCTCCCTCTCCAGGACCCTCCTCTCTGGCAATGCCTCAGGTGTCTCCCGAGGGAGAAGAGATTGGCCAGGAGCCAGGTATCTCTGAACAGTCACAGTTGGACAGTGACGGAGATAAGTCTTGGCTGCATCTATGCCAGCATCGGAGAGACAAGCGCACGCAGCAGAAAAGGAGGCATGCCAGAGATTAAGCTGAGTCACTGGACCACACCCCACAGGGGATAAAAGGGGGTGTGGTGGCCATTCAGGCTCTGTGACGGACAAAACTAAACAACTAGCAAGTCTCATTGTATCTCTGAAACTACGTTATCTGCCTGCCTTGGATTTAATACGGACTGGACTTGACAATTCTTTGACTTTGTGTATTTATTTTGGTTTATCTGACGGAGGAGGAACACCTCCCTCTATGAGTAAAGTTCTTGGCAAGCAGCTACTGGGTTGCTGCCAATCCTGTTATCGAAGGAATTTATTGTCTGCAAGTTTTATTTAACTCCTGGCTGACTGTTTGTGTGCATGTGTGAGACGGGGACAGAACACTGTGTCCCTCCTGGCTGGTGCTGGCTACCCGGGAGGTTACACGAGGCTGGCTCCAGAGGATTATAAATGCTTCTTTGAGTGAGGGTTTCTTATCTCCTGCCTTGAAAGAGGCGGTGGTGAGACCCCTCCTCAAGAAGCCTTCTCTGGATCTGGCTATTTTGGCAAATTACCGTCCTGTCTCCAACCTTCGCTTTGTGGCAAAGGTTATTGAGAGTGTGGTTGCGCAACAGCTCCCACAATACCTGGATGAAACTGTCTATCTGGATCCATTCCAGTCCAGCTTCAGGCCTGGGTACAGCACAGAAATGGCATTGGTCGCGTTGGTTGATGATCTCTGGAGGGCTCGGGACAGGGGATGTTCCTCTGTTCTGGTCCTATTAGATCTCTCAGCAGCTTTTGATACCATCGACCATGTATCATGCTGCACCGGCTGGAGGGGTTGGGAGTGGGAGGCACCATCTTACGGTGGTTCTCCTCCTATCTCTCCGACCGGTCGCAGTCTGTGTTGGCTGGGGGGCAGAGGTCGACCTCGAGGCACTTTGTTTGTTGGGTGCCGCAAGGGTCGGTCCTCTCGCTTCTCCTGTTCAACATTTATGTGAAGCCGCTGGGTGAAATCATCTGTGGATTTGGGGTGCGGTGCCATCTGTACGCTGATGACACTCAGCTGTACATCTCCACCCCAGACCACCCCAACGATGCCCTTGAAGTGATGTCCCAGTGCCTGGAGGCCATGCGGGTCTGGATGGGGAGGAACAGGCTCCGACTCAACCCCTCCAAGACCGAGTGACTGTGGCTGCTGGCATCCCGATATAGCCAGCTGGTGCCATCACTGGCTATTGGGGGCAAGTCAAGCGCTCCATGGCTTAGGGCCCGGATATTTACGAGACCACCTTCTGCCATCGATAACCTCCCACCGGCCAATCCGCTCCCACAGAGAGGGTCTCCTCAGGGTGCCGTCGGTCAAGCAATGTCGACTGACGACCCCCAGGGGGAGAGCCTTCTCTGTGGGGGCACCCGCCCTCTGGAACGAGCTACCCCCAGGAATACGACTGATCCCGGACCTCCGTACTTTCCGCCGAGCGTTGAAGACCTTCTTATTTCAGCAAGCTGGGCTGGCTTAAAATTTTAATGGGCTATTTTATGGGTAAAGGGTTTTAAAATTTAGGGAAGCCAAACTGATTTAATTCTGTTTTAATTTATTTTAATTTTTATACTGTATGTATTTTAATTTTGGCTGTTCACTGCCCTGAGTCCTTCAGGAGAAGGGCAGTATACAAATTTAATAAACCTAACCTAACCAACCATATTGGGATGTATTGTATGCCAATGGTGGGCAAAGTCAAAACCAAAAGTAGTCGAGACCCTTCCCCTTCCTTTCCTCTCTGTCATTCTGTGATTATGTCCCTCCCTCCCTCCCTCCCTCCCTCCCTTCCTTCCTTCCTTTCTCCATATTTTACCAATCCCTCTTTGGCCAGAGCTCTAAAATGTACTTTTTTATTTTTGGAAAAGGATAGAAACTGAAGATCACTTTGGTCCCACTCCAGTTTTAATGGTTAGAATGACTCTATTGGTCTGTTGGGTCATTATGAATAATTCTAGAATAACATGCCTGAGTGACAGGCAAAATGATCTAGCAGGAAGGGTGGGGATATGTTTTTCAGATAAAAGGGATTTTCCACAAACTAATAATATCTCCCCTCCTAGCTAGTGATAAATGGCATGTCTCCTAACAGTTTTTAGAACAGTCAGGAATTTTAAAAATCTACAAATACCACATGTACACACACACACACATACACACGGCAATCAAAAATATGACACTGAATTTTTATGATTATGAAATTTTATGAACAATTTATAATAGATTAACTGGCCTAAATGCATTGGCAACAGGAATTCACTGCCTTGAGAAAGTCTAGCAAGGTCAGGGTTATCTTGCTCTCTGGAGGGATGCTGTTGCAAGGGCAGGAACTGTTGTTATGGCTCCTGGGTCCAAAAGATGACATTGTTTAATGGGAGAAACTTGGAGCATGCCCTCCCTGTTAGATCTGGTGAGGTGAGCAGAAACAATGGGAGAGAGAGGCGATCCCACAAATAGCCTGGCCTTGTGCCAGAGCTTTTTAGATGATAAGCAGCACCTTGAATTGTGTCCAGAAACTTACAGGGAAGCAGGGCAGAGCAATGGTATTATATTTGATGGGCATAACAGATACACCAAAAACTGTCCACACCATCACATATGTCTCTTTTATTTTCCCTCAAAAATAAATTTAAAGCTGGCTAATAACAAAAATAAAATCTATAAAACTAAACTTTTGGGCAACAGTTAAAAATCTAAGACTTGAAGATTAGGGGAGAAAAACATGGCAATGTTTACAAAATTTTAAATTCTAGTAATCATGTTTGCAGGGCCCTTGGCAATCTGCCATAAGTGCGAATGGGTTGCCAAGCACCCAGATCGCAATCCTGTAACTGCAGGCATACTGAAACAGCTGTAAGTTTGGGCACCAGTGGAAAGTCCCTTCATTCAGCACCACCATAACTTTGAACCCTCACTGAATAAATGGCCATTAAGGGAGGACTACTCATAATTTGAGAAGGGGATTTAGCTGTAGGATTATGTGTATGAGTTGTAAACTACCCTGTGAACATTTCATGAGGAAAAAAAAAATTAAGGAGCTGGGTTCCTGGGAGCAGTAGCCATAGGAAAAGAATCCCATGCTAGACAGGCTACCATAGAGATGAAACTTTTCAATTACATGTATTAAGCCAGGGACCAACTAATTAGTTTCAGGACTTTGTATTCTGTGAATTGACCACTTGATGAGTAGAGCAATCTATTTTAAAAAGGGAAAGAGTGACTGTGGGAGTTATAGTCCAAGATTATTATTTATTATTAAATCTATATGCTACCCTGCTCTTAATTACTTTTGAGCAGTTCATAATAATAAAAATACAATAAAATCAATAAAACATAATAAAAGATGAAAAGCGTACTGAAGTGAGGCTCCTTGTTGAAGGCCTGGGTGAATATCCTGGTCTCCATGGCTCTTCTCCAACAGTAGAGTTGGAAACCCCAGATAAGGCTTGCTTCTAGGGTCCCTAGAGAGGATATTGGTAATGACTTGTGCTGGTTAATGACTGCAAGAAAGTAAGGCTAGTGCAGCCAATCCCAGCTCAGCAGCAAATCAGGAACAATGAGTCATCCAATTCCTCGGAATCAGGCTTGCTCCTCTCTTTTTTCCTCCTCCTCCCACAAATCCTGAACTCTTGATTGCATGATTTTTTTTTTTTTAAAAAAAGGCCCACTGAGCTCTAGTTCAGAATTTATCCCCAGATGAACCCAGTGAAAAGGCTTCAGAGTAAAACCAGCAGCTTTCACCATCTGTTCTTCTTTTCAGCTGCTTAGTCACACCAGGCTCTCTTTATCAGCCCTGCCCCCTTTCACCAACTTTCAAGGGACTGTTGAATGCAGAGACGTTCTATCTTTTTCAAGCCACATAGCAATAAATTGGGCATCCAGATAAGGCTCTTACTACATAAAATGGGAGGGGAACTCCTGATCTGTCACACCTCTATTGCTAATCATTCTGTGTTTCTTCATCTCTTCTTGCATCATATGAATTTCTAAAGAACATCTGTTTCAAAGGAAAAGGTGAAATAACTATGCAATATCTCTTGATGAACCTCTCACTGGAAGCATTCCATAATCACACTCTTGATAATGATTGTGCCTCTCAATTAGAAATGCCTCCTGATTCCACAGGAACAGAAAATTAAGGTAATTGCACTCTGCTGAGAAAGTTTGTTTTTTATTATTTCTGAGAGGCTTAAGTCAAAGCAACAATAATTACTGGAATTCCTCAGGAAAGAACACTTTAGTCAAAAATAACCCTTGACCAAAACAAATGGACAAAATCAACAGTGGAACAGAGAGTTAGTGATGTCAACCACTAGTGAAGCTAAAGGTCAATTTTAATTTGGTATACTCATTTATTTATACAGTATTTAATGAAGATATTTTAAAACATAGGATAAGAAGAGAGTAATTTAATTCATACAAGGACAGGTATTTTGGAAGTTGATACCTTCTGATAGCTAGAGAGAGAGACATAGATAACAAACCTAACCCCTATGGTTGTATATACAATAGAGACGGTCTATTTTAAAATTACAGGAGGTATACTTCTGGTTCAAAGAGTTGCTAAGAATAATTACTTCCTGTTTGGACCTGCTGTCTTGACAGAACATTCTGCCAGGATGCAGTCAGGATCTTGCCAAGAGGATTTTCAGGCATATTGCCAGAGAAACAAGAAGAACATACTGTAGATGTCCTCTGAACATAGACAATTACAAAGTCATTGGCTGTTGGTATGGAGTTCAAACATGCTAGGCTCCTTTAGAAGAAAAGGAGAAATTCTGTCCCATATACAGAACCAGTTTCCAGGTACCAATTCTACTGTCTTAAAATTCCTTCACTATAGCTGTTTTTTCTCATTGCTAAACATTTCCTTTACCCCTCCCTCCTTTTGTTGTATTCTTTAGAAATATACCCAGTTAGATGCCCTTTAGCCAATTCAAAATTCAAAAATTTTCCCCACTGGTTCTGTGGGCATGGCTTGATAGGCGTGGCTTGGTGGTCATGTGACTGGGAAAACCAACTATCACACTTTACACAAAAATAACACAAAAGCTATACAACTGACACACACACAATGCAAAAGCAGCTGGACTTCACACAAAATGGCCCCTGCAACAAGCAGGAACCTCACAGAGTCACAGAGAGCTCAAAAACAAACTATCACACTTTACATAAAAATACTGGTTCGGGCAATAGGTAGTAAAAAATGCTTTAAAAAAGTTTTTTAAAAAGTTCAGACAATCAGCTGTGCCGCACGATCCTCGGAACTTTTTTTTTTACTTTTTAAAGCATTTTTTTTACTACCGGTTCAGGGGAACCAGTAGCATTTTCACTACCAGTTCGGGCGAACCACCCTGAACCAGTAGCATTTCACCCCTGCCTTTAACACTAATATTTCCATCTTCTTTTTGGTTTACCATGCTTCCTCTAGATGCTTCTCATCATTAAAGAGAGATGGAAAGAGTGACAACATGATAAATTTGTAATTTTCAGTGGAAGAGAGACAGGCCAAGCCATGGGGAGGAGTCAACTGGGGAATTACCATGTTTTCCCGAAAATAAGACCCTGTCTTATATTTTTTTGAACCCTGAAATAAGCGCTTGGCCTTATTGCCATGCACTCAAAAGCCTGATTGGGCTTATTATCAGGGGATGTCTTATTCTGGTGAAAACAGGGTAATCTGAAGTTCTTATGTAGGCACAAGAGGCAAGATTCGACTCCCTGCCCCCCGAGTGCTGTTGAACTTTAGCTAGTCTGGCTCAGTTGCAGACTACCAGTATAGGGAGATTGCTGTGAAATAGGCATGAGCAATAAAGTAGCTAATTGAACTCTTCATGTGTGGATCCACACATGTCCATTTTGAGAAAAAAAATAGAAATCTTCTTTGTTCTGATAGGTTGCTGCACAAGATCTAGAACATGGATACATATCCAGGGCTCTGCAGCAAGGCAGTATTAATCATCTTCTACTAAAGGAGACAGTCATATCAGGAAATACATAGTATACCACCTGTCATGGCAACTACACACTGGATCTGACTGAGATATATTATCATACAAGATATGTATCATCACACATCTTTTCCAGGAGTGAAATCCAGCAAGTTCTAACAGGTTCTGGAGAACTGGTAGCAGAAATTTTGAGTAGTTCAGAGAACCAGCAAAAACCACCTCTGGCTGGCCCCAGAGTGGGGAGGGAATGAGGATTTTGCAGTATCCTTCCCCTGGAGTGGGATGGGAATAGAGATTTTAAATATCCTTCCCCTGCCACACCCACCAAACCACACCCACAGAACCGGTAGGGAAAAAAATTGGATTTCACCCCTGATCTTTTCCCATTCTGGCATTCTCTGTATATTGTAGAGCATCAATTTTAGGGGACAGAGCTTTTACCAGATAGGCATGCTGTGCGCCCTGAAGTGCTTATTCCATGATACTCAACCACCAATTATTTCACCTGTATTTTAGGCTTGATATATGGTATAAAATCACTTGAGGAACCTAAAGTGATGAACATGGATCATGTCTGTCTATTATTGGGAGAATATGGGTGGGGAGAGCCAGGGAAATGTTCTAGGTAACCATCCCAGTATCCTTTTCTCAAATTTGTTAGAGCCATTGACTTTTTTTTATATCATGGCTGTAAGGATGGAAAATGAATTCATTGTGTTAATGGATTCATGCCTCTAAGAAGCAGGGCTTTTCTCAATGGGGCCCCAATGCTTTGGATTTTTTATCCCCCCAAAAAAGGTTTGTACAATTTCTCTTCTGTATTTCAGTAATGTAAGACAGCTAGAATTTATTTTCCAAAGAAAGGTGGTTTAGATCAGGGGTCCCCAAACCCCAGTCTGGGGCCCATTACTGGACTTTGAGCCTTTTGGAACCGGGCCATGGAAGTGGCAAGCAAGCTCCCCCCCCCCACTGGTCCACAAAGGTGGAAAAGTCAGCTTTAGATGATTTTTAAATTTATTTTGCATGTTTACTTGCTATTGTTTATTGCAGAGCAAGACTTTTATGGCATGGAAATTTTAGATTAAGATCTTTCTACTGACTCTTACTGAATGTTGGTTAAATTAGATTTAAGTTAAAGATAATCAAAAGATGGAGAAAGATTCTGTTGTCTACTGCATCCAGAATTTATTCACGAAACCTTGATCTGTCACTTTTGTCAGTAGACTTTTTCTTTTGTAAAGCTTTGTTGTATCATTATAAGGAGAACTGTCCTTGATGTACAGAAATAACATGAAATGTGCATCTTAAAAACCATTTAAATATCAAGAAAAGAGGAATTGGGAGGTGAGGTGGCAAAGAAATATCCCATTGTTTGTTATCTGTGCTCCATTCTTCAGATATGTAATGTGGAATGATATGGTAATTATACACCAATTTGGGATCATGGAGATTTGTGGGTAATGATTATACAGATTTTTAATTACAGAGAGGTATTTTATAAGTGGATGCCTCTGAATTTCCAATTTATCTGTCCAAATCTACCACAGTAACTGTAGCCGACTTCTCCAAAAACTGTGTTTGCAAGCTTTTATAGAAAATGTTTCTTCTATACAGGACTGAAGGATTTGCTTTATTAATTAAACCAACATATTAAATCCAGAATAAAAATGTCCTATGAGGAATCCAATTGATAGTTTATTAAATTTACCTTAGAGCCAAACCACTGCCTCAAAGGAAAGACAAACAATAATTGGTGCAAGGAAAGGCCTAATAACTTTGAAAAGGAAAAATTGAGAAGTTTCTTTTTCAAGAATATTCAATAATCCATATTGAAGCTCCCACATTCCAAAAAAGGCACACAATGACTGTTAGTTACTTGGGTTTCCTCTGCGTTATTCCTTTTTCCACCGAGTTATAAAAGTGGAATGGAAGAATTCCCATTTTGAAATGTTTACAACTATATGCTGAGTTAGTAAGAATAAATTATTGCTCTAAAAGCTGAGTCAGGATTGAAGATGCATAACCAGGATCAGAAGAAGTCATTTACTTGAATGGAGAAGATAGAGAACTGATTTTAGTCTGCCTTCTTCAGGCAATCTATCTCTTAAACTGATGGATAGGGGATTTAAAACAATTAAATTCCACTTTCACCAGAAAGAAACACAGTATGCTGTCTTTCCCCTTCTGTTTGCATAAAGTTCTTTCTATTCAGCCAGAACATATGACATCATTATTCCATATTCAATTATAAGTGGTAAGTACATCTGAGCTGCTGAATTATGGTCAATATCATTAAAATTGGACTGTGTGCCACTGAGATGTCTACAGCAAATGTTGTGCACTAAAGGAGAATATCCACCTAGAAGAGAAGAAAATACACTAGACACACCATGTAGGAAATAGCTGTATTCCTATGCAGAGAAACTTTTAATATATGAAAATATAATCATGTCTTCAGAAATAAAAACTTCATAAAAGTGCAACA